ATGGGGAGGAATTTCATTTGCAAACCAGGTCACAGATCCACACAGCAACCATGTCCCCTGCCACAGGGGCTGCACCCACTTAGAGGAACCTATTGTACACCCCTGCCAATATTCCCCCCAATCCAGTGGGTCTCAAGTTAGGGGTCAGGCCCGGGGTCTTGTGGCTGAGCAGTAAAGGTTGGGGGTGGAGGGAGAGCAAGGCAGCTCTTTACTGGGGCAAGAACCCACCGCTCTGCAAAAGAACCCGTGGAGGCCGGTTGCCCGGAGTTTTGTGGGACTCTTGGAGGCAGATTCCCATGACATGACGTGGCCCATCAGTACCCAGTTCTGCTGCTCTGTCCAGGCACCTAGTGGTGTGTGCCTCACACAAACACAAGGCAGCCCTCTGCAAACCCCGCCCTGCAAGCCCAGTGTGGGACAGAGTGGGGATTGTGTCCACTCTTGCGGTCCTGCGATCACTCTGGTCTGGCAGTCGCTTTGTTGTGCTGCGTGTGATTCCTAATGCCCTAGACTGCACTGGAGGGACTCTGTGTGTGTGTGTGTCTGTGTGGGCGTGGGCCTCAGTTTCCCTGGCCCTGCGGCACTAGCTGCATGAGGAGCAGGAGGCTGGGCATGGCTCTCTGTGGAAGTATGTTCAGTCTCTCCCGGCCTGAGGCCCAGGTGACAGCAAATAACGTGTGTGTGTGTGTCCGTCCATCTGTCCGTCCGTCCATTTGTTCAAGAACTCCTCCTAAATGCTAAGAGCTAAGACCAACAGATTCCACTTCCTCCTCGTTTTCACCACATGATGCGTTTTGCTTCCTCCCTGGGCTGAATGGAGAAGCTATCCAGTTGCAAAACCCAGGGTGAACTGTACCCTTCCCCCCACTGCAGCACACCCAGGGAGTGTTCGCAGCAGCCTGGCCCTGAGTCCCTCCTGCAAACACAAACTTTTTCTGCACCCCACGTCAAACACCCCACTTACAGCTCTGTCCAGTCAGTGCGGACCCAGACACATCACCCTGATGACTCCACTCACTGGGCCTGAGGACCTTTGTGCTGCTCCTGTGGTCTGCTTGCTCCTGCCAGCCACCCCACTGGCCACCCACTGCTGCTCCTACTGGCCACCCACTGGTCATTCCCACCAGCCGCTCAGTTGGCTGCAATGGGTCTGGCTCCCAGCCAAACCAGTGATTTCAGCTCTTAGTGATTTCAACTCTTTAGCCATCACCTAGACTGGCAAAAGATTCCAGCTTCCAC